GTGGAATGCATCGGGCTTGTTATGTGATAGAAATGTACCCCTCAAACTTATGGGAAAATTCTATAAGATGGTAGTGAGGCCTGCAATGTTTTATGGTGCCGAATGTTGGCCATTAAAAGAGAAGTATAATGCTAAGTTAAGTGTGGCAGAGATGAGGATGCTCAGGTGGATGAGTGGCTTTACCCTTAGAGATAGGATACGAAATGAGCATATACGTGAAAAAGTTGGAGTAGCAGTAGAAGATAAGATTAGAGAGAGTTGTCTTAGATGGTTTGGTCACATAAAATGGCTGCCTTCTGATGACCCGGTTAGAAGAGTAGAGGTATTAGATTTGACTTATGTTAAGAAAGGTAGGGGTATACCTAAAAAGATTTGGTTAGAAAATATTAGGAATGATCTTTTTTTATTAGATTTAAACGAGAATATGACTTTTAATAGGACTAAATGGAGAAAAATGATTCATGTAGCCGACCCCACGTAGTGGGATAAAGGCTTGATGTTGTTGTTGTTGTAGTAAACGTTCAAGCATAATCTAATAATTGGAGCTGCCCTTCGCTTGCGTTCTTTATTGATCATATTTTCTTTCCTTCAGATTAGATTTCTTTCTTTCCTGTCCAATAACATTGCTGTTCAGAAAGTTTTTCGCTTATTTAAGGATGAGATTTTATACACCTTGTCAATATTTTTTCTCAATATGATTGATATGGTAGTGCAGCAGGATTTCTTGTTCATGTTCTGAATTAATATCTTTTTTTGTTTTTGTTTTTCAGAATCCAAAGTGGAATCCCGCAAGATTAGAAGATGTCAACATAAATGAAGTTGAGTTAGCTTTTGAACCATTGCCTACTGAAATAGAGCTGAATGTATGAATAATGAGCTGATTTGAAATGCCAAAAATATATGTAGTTGCCAGCCATACGAGCGGCATTTTTCTGCGGTAGTAAGATGCAAAAATGAAACAGCCAGTTTATTATCGCTGTGAAATATTATTTTGCTCAGGCTAAGATCCGAATTGCATTGCCCCACAAATCAACCACGCCAAGCAGTTTACACGTTTCTTTTGCAAGTAATGTTTTTATTCTGGAACGGCGTTCTCACCAGTGCGCTTGATTGTAACAAACCTTCTATTTTTAATAAATGGTCTACAATCACTGACTTGCTGCATATAGGTTTTAGTTATGCCGTACATGACTAGATCATATTTGGGATCGGTAAGATGACGAGCTTACCCGATTTAATCCAGCTCAATTGTACATTTGTTGAGCCTTTAAATGAATATTTCACGTCTTTCACCAAAGCAAGATTATTTGGCTAAATGGGCAAATTATTTGTACACGTTTCTTTTGAATAAAATTTCAAAATATTTTAAAAAATCATTAAAATATTCCAAGAATTTATACAAAATAATAGATTTGTTACATAAAACCAAATACAAAATACAAATTTTTTTTAATTTTATTCATTATTACTCAACCTTAAATACTATTCACCAAGAACCCTAAACCTTTTGGACATATTCCTATACATTAACAGTAAAACCAAAAAACATAATGAATACCATGAAATAACTCTTAAAAATAAAAAAACTAAATACCAAAAATATATTCTTCAACAATAAACTATAAATAACCTAAAAATATAAATTTATCAACCTTAAGTAACCAAAAAGATCTCATTAATTAGTCCAAATTATTCAATATCAATTTGTATTATTTGTGTATGTTGTTCGTATGGCATATCTTGTGCATATTTAATACAAACTTTTAAATAATTTTTTAAAACTTATAAAAAAATTATTAAAAAAATTCCAAGCATTTATATAAAATAATCCGTTTATTACATAAAGCTTAAAACCAACTACAAAATACTAAAATCTATTGATCTTATTCCTTATTACTCAACCTTAAATACTATTCACTAAGGACCTTTAATCCGTTGGACATATTCCTATACATTAACACTATAAACAAAAAACCAAAAAACACAATAACTATTATGACATAACTCCTAAAAATAAAAAATTAAATGGAAAAAATATATTCTTCAATAATAGACTATAAATAACTTAAAAACATAAATTTATCAACCTTAAGTAATAAAAAAGATCTAATTAATTAATCTAAATTAATCCAAATTAATGTGTATTATCTGCGTATATTAAGCATAAGTTGTGCATACGCACTTCATATCTTATGCTTATTTAATGTGTACTTTTGAATATTTTTTTTAAAATATTTTAAAAAATCATTAAATTGTTGCAAATCAGGATTCAAGATTGATATTATGATTTTATTTTTATGATATCAAAATATTATTATTTTGATTTTATTATTTCTCCTAGCATATATTGAATATTTATGTTTGTTTCTCTATGTACTAACATTTCAGAAAAATCATATACTACTCCAGATTATTGAAGACTTCAAGATAAGGTAGAGTAGGATTTTCATGTAATAGAGTTTGTATATCTCTATTTTTATATCTTAAGTCTGAGCAAGTGTGTTTATAATTGGATAATCATAGACACAAATACAGGAGTAGTGTGATAATTTTTTTAACTGATCATATTGTATAATATTTAATCATACTGTATGATTTGACATATATTTTCCTCCAGAATATAAATAATCAAATCATGGCTTAAAATTTTGAACTATTTATACTGTACTATGTGACTTCATACAGACGACTGATAGAGTATAAAATTAGGTTCGTACGAGATCATACCGAATGAATACATTCATTTTTGAATTGTTCATACAATACGACGTGACTTCGTACAAATGACCGATAGAGTGTGAAATTAGATTCATACCAAATCGTATCGAATGAACACATTCATTTTTAAACTTTTTTATACAGTATGATGTGACTTCGTACAGACGACTAACAGGGTTTGAAATTAGGTTCATACCAGATTATATTGAACAAGCATAATCATGTTTGAACTATTCATACAATATAATCTTAATTCGTACAGACGACTTGTAGAGTACAAAATTGAGTTCATCCAAGTTTATGTTGCAACTCGAGCTCACGAGTTTATATTTTTTATGATAACAAATATTGTGGCTCTCATCCTTATGTCTAATTATATTTGTACTCTATATTTATTTATGTGTGTACTAATAATTCAGGAATGTCATACACCATCCAATGAAGATTCAAGGCTCAATATTATGTAGAATAGATTAAGTTATAAAGATTTTTGTAATATTAATTGATTTATTTTTGATCTCTTGAATCAAGTCCGGTAAGGTTGTATGCTAGCTTGATGACCATATGCATGTATACTCATGAGGAGTAAGATTGAGTCAAAGCCATATGTTCAAATTTTGAACTAATCATATAGTATGATTTATATCATACTATATAATCTAGTCATCTAACTAATAACCCTGAATGATTGGATAATCCAAGATGACCAGTTATGAGCATGAAAAATAGCTGCCAATCTAATTTAGGCAAGATTTTTAATTTCATGTTTTATTTTAGTCATCCCGAACAATGTACATAGTACTAGACTATATATGATAATTATACCTAAATTGATTATGTGATTAGTGAATTAATTATAGTTAATTTTTTCAATTCAATCATCCAGGATAATCAATCAAGATTGTACTAGATGACACGATAGATACATGGGAAGGTACTTGATCATCCCAAACAAAATATTATAATTATTCATCTAATTGTCCATGATGATTACTATTGACCACCTTTTTGGCATCCGTCACTTGCATAGTCTTGTCACTCGCACTTTGTGGGTTGATTCGCTTCACTTGCATGTTGCGTTGTTGTATATGTTGAAGGATCAAATCACACATTTTATCTTGATTTGCTGTCGGCTTTGGGATTTAATCATTTGTCACATATGATCTGTTGTTATGTTTGAAAATATGTGTGATCGAGTCAACGTCGAGCTGAATTTTGTATAATTTGAACCTTTCGCCGCATCTTCTTTCCATGGTTAATGACTTTTTGATTCATGCATCTTTTTAAGAAATGGATTGTGCAAGTGCATTCGGATCGTTGAGATCCTTCAAAGGAGTCCAAAAAAAAAAAAAAAAAAAAAAAAAAAAAAAAAGAAAGAAAGAGGAGAGCCTGCTCATACTTTTAGATTTTCTCAGACACATTTTTTTTTTATGCTTCTCATAGCTCTCATAGGAAATAATAATAAGAAGAAAGGGAAAACGGCAAAATTCCTAATATACTCTCTCAGTTACGTGAAGCTAGGATGCCTAAGCTTAGAGTTCGGGGAGCCCTCTTTTACCTCACACACAGGGATCTTCTCCAAGACGATGAGGACACACAAGGAGAAATTCTCCAGGACAAAAAGAGGGGCTACAGACAAAGTATGGAGGAGCTCACATCTCTGATGCACTCTGGTTTTGAGCAACTCGTCTTCCAACCCTCTCTAGCCAGATCTTCATTTGTCGCTGACCTCCTCCTCTCTCGACCGTCCCGACGACAACTCCTACCTTAGACGAGCATGTTCGACCCGGCTCCTTTCCTCATGCAAAGGATCCTCCAACGACCCTTCTCCCATTCACTCTGCCTAGAGCAGCTATACGGAATGCTCTAACCGGATCACCTCTCAAGCTCTTCTCTCTGGACCGAGCTAGGTCCTGACCAAATTTCGCCTCTGGCCGCCTAATCCATCGTTGGTGTTGATTCTGGCATCTACCTTCTTAAAGAAAAAAGAAGGGAGGGAGACTCCCTCCCTTAACACTATAGAGGTTTCGGCAAAAGAAATCTAAAAAAGAAAAAATCAAGATGCATGTAATGGATTCTTTTACTTTGATTTTATTACTTCTATGATCCATTATACGAAGTTAATTTCTTTTGTATTGACTTTTTATTCTTTATGTAATTTACATGTGCTATAGGTTATATATTTACTTATTGCTTCATCTTTTTTTTTTTTGAAAACCATCACACTCCTCCTTCAAACAATACAAGAAAGGAGGAATGGAACTCCCATGAAGATCTTCCCACAAAAAAGATCTTTCTAAAGACATAGTAGCACACATGTCCGCTAATTTGTTACCAAGTCTACTAGAATAAGAGAAAATAATTTGCTTGAAATCAAGTAAAAAAGCCAAACTTTCTTCAATAACTTTGCTAACCTTCCATTTTTTGACTGAATTTTAAAGCAAGTTAATGATGTTCCGGTTATCCCCTTCAATGATAACTCCTTGTGCTTCAAACATCCATTCCTTCACCACATTCTTCAAAAACAAAACAGCACATAATTCTGTTTGAGCTGCATCCCAATGTTGTAGTGGATTACCGAAAGCTAGTAGGAATCGACCTCTGTCATCTCTTGCAACCCCTCCAATTCCAGCCCTGTTGTTCTTCATTAGAGCACCATCTACATTAATTTTAATCCATCCGGGAGGTGGGGGATACCAATGAGAAGACAACAAAAGCTGGTTGGCATCCCAGTTGTCCGATTGGAAATTTGAAAAATTGCTTTTTACCGCAAAACAAATAGCATTGGCTGCAATTGAATTATCAGAATCCTCCTTGTCTATATGGATTAATTTGCACCTACTCTTCCATACCAGCCATACAACTGTACAGAACAAGTTTGCAGCAAGACCTTACCTCCCTACCATCTTCTGAAGTCCTACTATACCAAGCAGTCCTCAAAGCATTCGAAAACTGGAACATGAAATCCCCAGTTATTCAACAGAGAAGCTACCTTCCGGAATTTAAAGCACCTCCCTCCAATATGGTCAGTGTCCTCTACAACTTCACAACCTCTCGGGCATCCAGAAAAAGAACCGAGCCTTCAATTAACACGAAAAGAATTAGATGGAATGGCATTATTATACAATCTCCACCAGAAGAGTTCAATCTTTGGATTTAGTTTTAATTTCTTCATCCAATTCCAGTGAGCAGCTCTATCTTCCTGATCCACATCTGCAGCCACTGTTAAAGCTGTAATGGATCTCCCAAAAAACTTCTTAATAAGCTCTAATTTATCAGAAATCCTGCCTTCCACAATCGGTGTTCTCAGGATTATATCTATGAGCTGCTCTCCAAACACCTCTCTCAAATTATCCAACTTCCAACGACCCCCTTCAATAAAGGAGCTGAGTTTGTATTATGTAGAATCCTGAATATTCACAAAAGTCGGCCATGTAGCAATACAC